ACCACACACACACACACACACACACACACACACACACATATATATATATATATATATATATATATCTATATATATAGTCTCTCCATAAGATGCATCCTATCTACAATGTCTCAGTGTATTGCCTGTGTTAGCAGGTGACCTTGTAGGGACTATAATCTCAATAGTAAGTCATATTGCATGTGACTAAGATCCATAATATGAAGTAAGACAGCAATTTTATGTTTCAAATTAGTGTTACCTTGTGAATTTTTCTTACGATTAGAAGATTGTTCTCATGTACTAGTAGCACAATAATCCCAATAACTAGAGGGTGAAAATGCTTTAGACTGGTTGGGATCCCTCTACCGAAAATCTAACCTGAATCGTAGATCTTTGTAACCGTGCTGAATCCTTGATCTTTGTATCCATGCTCTAGTAGCCTATTAAAGTCCATATATTATCTCAGAACTTGTTTAACGTGATCATTCCTGAAAGTTTCATGGGTTTCATGGGTCTATCTATATGCAGTGCCCTCAATGTGTATAGCGTCCAATAAGTCCAGGGTTCTATCTACCATGTGTGAATGCTTCCCTTCAAGCTTCTTCTTCCTTGGAATTCTTTGCAGCCACTTCAACGTATGGCTCCAGATGCCACCAAAACTGAAGTTCTGCAGTCTTTACCACTCTTAACCCCCACACCATATTTCCTCTAATATAAGAATATGAATTTCAATTCTATCATTTTAGATATTTAATTTATCTTTTATAGATTTTTATTTCTGTTTTATTCATTTTTATTTTTCCAAATTTAGAATTAGAAAATAAAGCTATATATATATATGTAGTATCCCACCTTAAAAATAAGGGGAAAATATCATTTAAGGGGTCATAACCCTTTATAGAATCATTAAGGGTCGAAACATCCCAATTACCATTAGGGGGTTTACTTTTTAATTTTCATTTCTTAAAAAAATCCTCTAAATGCCCAAATTGTCTTGTTCAGGGTTGGGAACCCTGAACATGTAGAGGCATTTTAGGAATTTGACCTACCTAAGAGGCCCCAACCAAATGATTTGAGCACTTTGCATGTTTAGGGTGGGTTGGATTGCAGAAAAGCCCCTACTGAACAAGGGCAATTTGGGTATTTTTGAAGTTAACTTTTGAGGAGGTACCTTAATGAAATGAAAATTGAAAAGTAAACCCTCTAATATTAGTTGGGATCTTTTAACCCCCTTAATGATTTTGTAAAGAGTTTCGACCCTTAAATGATATTTTCCACAACAATAATTGGTTCATCCCTTTAACTTTACCTTGTCTTCCAGTATTGGCAATGTTGTGGTAGAAATGACTTTCAAGTTATCTCGCTCTATTCTTTCTGTGCCAACTGCTTGCTTCCTACTTCTCTGGCGTTGTAGGCTTTCAAAGCTCTATCTAGTCCCAACATCTCACACTGGATTGTCATCTTCTATTCCTTAGGTCTGCACAAGGGAATTCCACTCCTTCGTTGTCCCTTGATATATTGGAGCTTTTGAGCTAATCAAATTCTAGTCATCCTTATTCAATGCAATCAGGCCACCATTTTAGTACTTATTGTAAGAAGTTTAGATGCACCAGCTTCATGTTTTCAAAACAAAATGACATTCTGCACCTATTAGAAAACAATATCCCAATAACTACTGAGGTATATTTAAGGCTTGGTTGTAGAAATGTTCATCGATTTACTCAAAGAAACGAGTTTATCAATAACTAAGGTGTCAATCGAGTCACTTCATTATAGGATTATAAAGGTTATGTAGTCTCTTCATCATGGGAAGTAGAAAACCGTTCACCTCCTATAGGTAGATGCACCAGTTTGATGGTGTCAAAATGCTAAATACTTCTCTCTCTACTTCTCTTCTTATGCATGAAGAAAACTGCATTGAAGTCATACAATATTACAATAAAAGCCCCTTTTGAGATCTGGAATAGTTCAGCTGCCTAGCAACACCTCGTTCATCCCATTACATTCGCATACATGAGGCGGTTAACATGTTCCATGTACCAATTTTTGTCTTTTGTGGGGGTTCATTCCATAGGAACTTCTTGTTAACGTGCTTGTGTACCGCCTCACTGCCCTGATCTCTTTTGTCCTAACAACTCTCTTCCACACTTTTTTGTAGTCAATTGAGGAGACGACTTTTTCAGCTATCTTGCATCACCGTTTCCCTCAAGTGTTTTCTTTTTAATCTGAATACTGCATTCATTCTCCTGTTTTCCAACATCCTGATTATAATACTAATAGTCCTTTATAGTGGAAGCTTAAAAAAAAAAAAGTTCTTTCTAGTGGTCATCAGGAGTAAACCTAGGAGTTTACCCAGCTCAATCATATTTCATGTCCGATACTGAAATTAACAGTAGCTTCCTCTTTACCTTCTTCCACAAATTAGGGAATGGACTGGATGACCTTACAGTGTTCTCCTTACTCTTCCACCTCACTGAACTGAGCAATGCGAGGCTAGCCTCCAAGAATCCTTCCAACCCCCCTCCAATCATACATGAGCTATTGCGTCAAAAAGCCAACATTTGTAGATATCACTACATGGGCATTGCTTTCAAAAGGCCAACATTTATAGATCCTGATAGATATCACTAATCCCTCCCTCCCTCCTCTCTCCCTCAAAGGTGCCACTTTAATGGCCAAACAAGCCTCTGAAAAGTACAAAAGGAAGGTTCTAGCAATATTTTGAAAAATCTTTACAAAATGCAAAACAGTTGGGGAGGGTGAGACTAAGAGTGTTATGTTTTTGCTCAATGAAAGTCACATCTGCAATGACATCATTACACGAATGCGACTTTCAAATTTGATTAATAAAATGATAGAGAAAATAACAAATAATGAATTGTTGGGCATAATTTGGCCTTCTATCGGCGTTCTTTAGCTTCTTCAGCCATTCTCTGTCTCCTATTTCCTTTTTTTTTTTGCTGTTTTTTTTAGAAAGTCAGGTTTGAAAGTAGTCATCAAACAATATCAAACTTGCTATGTATTCTGCTGTATCATATGCATGCACTTATCAGTGTGTCTTCTACCATAATTGCATTATTCAGGCCTATTGAGAGTGCTCCCACCCTTATCTGTGTGTTGATATTCTTCTTGCAACAATTTTTTTCTTGGATTTTTTTTTTTTTCTTTTAGCTTCTAAGATAACTGGTACACGTCCTTTCCCCTCCAAATTGATGCTTTTAAGTGCCCACCTGGCTTAGACAAATGGGAAAAGTACGGCTCTTAAGAATGTATGGTAGATAGAATCATATAAAATTTCCGATCGCCAAGCTATGGTAAATTTTATCAGAATTAATAATACTATATGTAGCAAGAAAGACTTTTCTTTATAATTCTGAATTAACAGACCGATTCATGATGACTCTACAGATCTCTTTGTTGGTCTGTGACACTTCTTTGCCGTGATGTTTTTCACATATGATGCATTCATGATGTCGAATCTGTGGACAGAGGACGAAAGACGAAAAACCAGATTAAATAGATCAAGAAAAGCACTTATGGCAAGGAGATTGATAAGTATATTTATCTATTCTTTTAGCTGGCTTGGGGAATTATATCATTTTTTCTCTTCATTTATATCTAGTGTTTCTACATAGTTTGTTCTCTTTGAGGCTTGTATTTTTTTTCCTACTCTCTTGTTTGCTTTGATTGTTTCTGTGCTTATTGCACTGAACTACTAATGTGACTCCCTTGTTTGTTTTGAGCTTTGGATTCTTTTGCACCTGATGAACTAATCACAGTTCGGTGATTTGTTCATCAATTTCATTGGATTGATAAAAAACGTGATAAAATTTTACTAATTTTGCAGGCCCACAAGAAACTATTGTGATCAAAATATAATGAAACTTCCCATTTTTTATCCTATCAATTTAAATTCAGGGGCCTGTTCAACATATTTACACAAGGAAAGTGAACCTGCGTGTGGAATGCATACCTTACTAGGTTTACAAACAGTTGGAACCCAGATGCTTGGCTGCCCTAATTTGTAATTTCTGGTGTGGAACATTTCAAAACTTGGTAGCATCCATTATGAGGTGCATTCTCCCACTTGGTAGCATCCATTTTAGCTTGTGTTTCGACAATTTTCTGGAGAACACAATAATTCTATGATACAATCATAAAACAATCATAATATTATTTGTGTGCACTATTAGCATAGGCACGACACAACGCCGTTTTGGATATCGATACGAGTTTCAGAAACTTGAATTCTGAAAGCACAAATATGTACTTTTGGAGACACCACATTTATAGTTTTTATCATATGGGAAGTCAGCTGCATCGCACATATTTTTGGTGAATGCATGTAGACATCCCCTTTGAAATTCTAGCTAGGCGCAAATCCGAGCGTAAACAATACAATTTGCTCTAAGGTTGAATCGTCCATGTAGGGAATCAACCCAATAACTAAGAAAATAGGAAAAGCATTTGGTGCTCTCACAGGAAATTAAACACTTGTTCTCACAGGCAAAATGCCCATTTGTTGGATTTGTTTGAACCGACGACTTTCAAATTTTTGTTCATGCCAACGGCTACCAATTTAGAAGGATGAATTACATTTTTTTGGTTGTAAAAGTAGTCCAAATGAATGCCAGTCTAACAATTAATGCAAACATTATTTCTTCCCCCCCCCCTTTGTCTGTCCTCTAAAAGCCAAAAGTTTAAGCTCTTCCCTTTCTCATATTCCCAGTTAAAACCCAACTTATTATTCCTTAATTATCACACTCGCTCTAAACACCCAACATGTTCTTCTCCACTGTCACATTTTTTTCTAAAAACCCGACCCAACTCTTGTCTTGTCTCATATTCGCTCTCTAGAAATCAAATCTCATTTTTGCTTCCAATAACATCCTTTTTCTAAAAATCTATAGAAATCCAGTCTCATTTTTTCCTCCACTTGCTTTCTCTCTCTATAGAACCTCACACATGGCCTCCTCTCACATTATTTGGAGAGAGAATGTGAGAGGATGGAAGAATATGTTAGGTTTCCAAATAGAATAGGGAAAAAATGACAGATGAGAAGTTTTAAGATTTTATTTTTCAGAAGAGCGACAAATGGGTCTATTTACCCATTTATAAAAGTGGGAGGGCCAAAGTAAAAAACGAACTTATGAGGTCTCATTTCTAGAAGAAAATTCTTGTAAGGCTTTTTTAATATAATCATATAAGGTGTGGTTTATAAAAGGGTGCAATCTTAAACAATCCAATAAAGGCGTACCTACAAATTTTATCATAACATGTAATTTTGGTGTCAAAATTCTTAGGATTATATGAAAATCTATTTTCATAACTAATTATAAAATTTTAAACTCTAAAAATGGTTAAAATAAAGTAGATCGATAAATATATGAAAATCTTGAAAATGGATCTTGAAAATGGACGGTCTAGATAATGTGCTATATGATGTATTATTTTTAGAACTCAAAATTTTTTTTTTTTTCATATAATACATATTGATGTCGAGATGATCAATTAGAAAGCTTTTCAATATTACAACGACTTTTTCCGCTCGACTTTTGAGGTGCATGTGTAATTCTACATTTTTACACGTTGCAACCTTATATAAACTTTTTCCATCGTATGGAGGTTGATATTGAGAAAATCTCAAACTTTGAAACATTTGAGGATATCGATTACGTGGTAAAATAGGTAATAGAAGTTAACAGTTTGTAATCTTTATATAATTTTCTATTAAATTCATTTGTAAACAACAGCATGTTTTCCATTTCATTTCATAAATTCATGAATGGTATTTTCGTGGTAGCCTTTTTTTCCCGATGAAGAACAATTTAACTGTGTTATCTTTCCCTTTTCCTCCTATTTTTAAAAGATCTACCTCTAAACTCTTTTAGATAGGCTCTTAATCTAAATCCAATATTCTTAGCCAAAAAATGTCTTATATAACTCCCATAGAATATCCACCTATGCTAAAAAATAGTTTTCAAAACAATCTACGATAAATTAAAAACATGATTTCTTGCTAGAATGAGAGACGAGTCAATCTAAGTACATATTTTTTTGTCAATAAAATAGGTACCTGATTTAGAAAGAAAATAAAATAATTGGAATTCAAGAAATAGAAATAAACATAACAATTTTGACAAAAAATAAATATTATATTTTTAAATAGATGTAAATAATCTCCAAATATTTTACAATCAAATAAAAATAAATATAACATACATTACCTTTAACTTTCATAAGTTTGTAAAACTAATGATGATTAGCTGAAAATTCTCACGTCTATCTCCACTTACAAAGTCTATCTCATCTATCATATAAAAATCAATGCAAGCAAAGAAAAGCGAAGAAATTGAAAAGAGAGATTAAAAAAAAAACATTCAAAACTATTTTACTATAAGCTATCTATTATAAGTCAAATGTGGAATCCCTATCAAATTAAATGTTCCAATCACTATAACTAGATATACTTTGGAAAACAGGTGCCATGTTTTTTTTTAAAAAAAAGTGACTGGAATCCAATAAATAAAATTTAATATGAAAACCAACTAGATTTTACAGTATGTGAAATAAATAATATTATAATATTCAACGATAATTTATCAAAATGCCAATGAAGGATGCACTATTTAATATTTTACATACTTGCGCCTATTCTAATTCATAATCATGTGTCTTTTCTATAGATATTTTCAAATTAAATCAAACTATATGGCTAAATCGTTAAATATATCATCTCATATCTATTTTTGTGAATTTTCAAATCTATCTATTATTATATTATTATATTATATTATATATATATATATATATATAACACCACTTGGTTCGGGATCACGTGGCACTCTTAAAATGTATTGGGAGCTTTGGGACTTAGGCTTGGATGGAGATGTGGTGAAAAGAAAGAAAACAACTATGGTAAAACAAGGTACTAGTGTATAATGTTTAAAACAAATTGTCCAAATTAGTAATACACAACATGAAAAAAATATCAAGAGATTGTATGATACCTTATGTATATTGTTTCACCAAATAAATGTTTTAAGTTTTAAACTTTAACTTTTATCTTTCAAATATAATTTTATAATGGATCTCTAAACTTTATATCTATAAAACAGGGCCTGGTATGTCTTTACCACGAGGGAGTAATCATACAATGTGCCCCTATACGAGCATATACATACCAACGTAGAAGTTCTATCTTCCCCTTATCCAACCGTTCATTTTTTAATGGAGGGCTAAAATTGTCCTAATCACAATGTTACGTCTTTACACTATTTTATTTTTAATTTTTTTTCTTCTACAACTATTTTGACACCAAATTTTGGACGTCCATTCCTCTATTAAACTCTCACTAACAAAAAATATATAAAAAAATATTTTCATTAAAATAAAATGATCAAAATACCTCTAAAAGTTTCAAGGGGTATTTTGGTCATTATTTTATTGAAAAATTATTGTTAATATTTTTTATAGGTGAGCCCCAATGAGAAGATGGTACGTACCAAAATTTATATTCAGAAAAACTGTATTAAAAAAAATAAAAACAAAATACTTTAAGATGTTGGATCTAAGATCAAACGGTGAGTGGCTCTCTTAATAAAAAAATGGACAGCTGGATGGTAGGAGGAGGATAGAACTTCTATGTTGTAGGGGAACATAAAAAGTTTTTCCCAAGAGAGTAATCATACAATGTGCCCCTATACGAGCATATACACACCAACTTTTGTCATTTCACCGCCCAAACGTATCTTTAAGCCATTTATTTATTTATTTATGTAAGGTTGCACTTCAAAATTCCATCGGAAAAATGTTGTTTTAATGTTGAAAAATCCTCTAATCGATCATCTTGATATCGAGATATACGAATATGAAAAGAAATTAAATCTCATAAATAGTGCACTTGCAACACATCATCTAAACCGTCACTTTTCAATAATTTCATATGTTTATAGATCTATTTGATTTGAACTATTGATGAAGTTTAAAATGTTATAATTAGTATTGGAAATAGATTTTCAAGAAATTCTAATAAATTTTTATACCAAAATTACATCTTGTAATAAATTTTGGTCCTGCCCCTTAATTAGATTGTTTAAAGTTGCAACCTTATGCAAACCACATCCTTTATTTATTGTGGTAAAGTGTCCTACAATAAAGTGTAATTTTAAACAAACTACCAATATCTCAAGACCAAATGAAAATATAGTCTTTTATAAAAGTATATAATTAAATAGATAATTTCTTAAAAAGTATCTCAAAAAGAAAATGAATTATATAACCAGTCTAATAAATTATTATTATTATTATTATTACAATTATTTTATATATTTTATTTTTTATGGACCGATTCTCCCTTGTTGATGCAGATCGGCGACCTAGTATCCTGGATGGTTGGCTAGTTTACATCTAGGTTTTAAAACAAATTTTCCCTTTTTTATATTAGTGTATGAATTATGTAACATATTATAACCTTATAATTGTCACTTGAAGCATGGACTTTAAAATTCACACCTTAAAAAAGAGTCAAAACATTTCATGCTCCTATTATTGGAGTAATTTCTTCATCCAGTTAAACATAATTTTGGACTATTTTTGGGAATAAAATAAATTTGAAACACTATGCACCATGAAAAAAATACCATTTATCTATTTTTTACAAAGTTGGATCTAAGCCTTTAAAACTAAAGTTTACATAAGGTTGAAAGCTTATAATGTAGAATTAAGGTGCACTTTAAAAATTCATTGTAAGTTGTTTTGAAATTGGAAAGCTCTTTAATTGATCATCTAGACGTTCAGATGTATAAATACGAAAGAAAAAAGATTTTGAGTCCAAAAAATAATGCATCTTACGATATTATCTTAACCCTTAATTTTTATATTTTTTATGTGTTTATCGGTCTATTTGATTTGAAACATTTTTAAAGTCTAAAATATTATAATTAAAGTTAAAAATAGATTTTTACATCATCTTCAGAAATTTTTGCACTAAAATTACATCTTATAAGAAAATTTAGGGGTGCACCTACTTTGATTGTTTAAGATTGTAACCTTATATAAACCACACCCAAAACTAAAACTGAAAACATTGGTGGATCTCCAAATTTCGATTCTAAAATGCCGTGGATAGATCGTTTGCCCGAGGAAATAAGCGGACATTTTGATCTCGCGGGATCATACCACCCGATCCCAAAAAAGCTCCCCGCCTAAATTTCCCCCGTTCGAAACCCTAAGGACCTTGTTCGAAACCCTCTCTTCCTCTCTCTGCATCTAACCCTTCTCTCTCATCTTCCTATTCTCTCTCTCTCTCTCTCTCTCTCTCTCTCTCTCTCTCTCTCTCTCTCTCTACTCTCTACTCTACTCTACTCTCTCTACTACTCTCTCTACTACTACTACTACTACTACTACTACTACTACTACTACTACTA